CCCCAAAACCCCAAAACCCCAAAACCCCAAATGAAGTGTACAAGATTGGATCAGGATATTTTATAAAATAGTCTACTTTTTGTAGAATAATCTCTGAGGAAACCCTCTATCAGGGTTATATTTTGGCTGAATGTTATCTAATTCGTCGTGGCATGAGTACCTTCTGTGCCTGTAAAGTTGGAGCATTGAAGAAGGGTTTGTTTTCTAGAAGGTGAGAAAATTTCTTACGCTGATTGTTGAAGTATTTTGAGTTGGTATAGGAGGATTCACAGGAAATATTTTGTGTTGAGGAATTGAAGGAAGAGGGTTTTGGTTCTTGCATTTGGAGCGAATGTCAATGATTAAACAAGCTAAAAATATTATAATGATTCAGTTTACTAAATCCAATTACTGATCCTGTCATTATGTTAAAAATAGCAACTCCAATGTAGATCTATCAATAAAACTACAATTCTTACCCACGATTCTCTATCTGACCAGTCGCTCTCAGATCTGTATTTTAGAAAGAACACAGAATAGAATGCCACCATCAGCTCATTCAGTATTTCTCTGAGGTTGTCTCTTGTCATGTCAAATGGTTTTACTATGAAGATATATGCAAAGAATGCTCATTGGATCACAATGAATGACACGATTCTGGCCAAGTCGCTTGCCCAGGTTGTCAGAATCAGCATTGACACCAAAGCTATTTTTCTGACTGAATCACAGAGTAAGTAGAGTCTGGCATATTTTGTGTGTCTAACCCCATCAAAGAACTCACTGAATCGATGAGAGATCTGATCTTGTTCTTTGTTCTTGTTGACGGTCCACACCACAAAGTTGAACAATATGATGAAAATGTACAACACAATTAACATTCACGAAATAGCCAGCGATACAATGTTTGGAACTGTAGAAGTGTCAGAAGCTTTGATTTCGGTCAGACATGAAATCGAGCCTATCATCATTGTTTCAAGAATCATTCTGATGTACACATTGAATACAAAGTTCTTATACTTCTTCTCGATCCAAGATGCTAGTTTGTTGTCAGAGTCTTGTTTCCGAGTTATTAAATACAATACCAAAAACAACAAATGGAAAGCAACAACAATTACAAGTATTCAGAATACAGACAAAATGTTGATGAATGTGCTCTTGTTCTGGATGCCCACAATGTTGAGTATTTCATCAGTTTGTTCAGCTGACAACGGACTCCAAAGCTCATTGGCATACGGAATGTCATCTAAACTGATGAACTCAACTGATCCCATCGACCAGTTCAAGTCACCATAAAAGTTAACAACTAACTCAGGAAGATGGAGTCTCAAAAGTGGAAACAAAAGCAACAACTGGAACTGGTTCACAGCACTGAACACACTTTGTGATGAGCCTGCACTGACCAAGATCGTTGCTGAGCTTGAAGCTACACTTGTGGCCATCACTGAAGTGGCAACAGCACTTGTTGTAGTCGGAGTCATGACTCCCAACGGATCCACTACACATTACTCACAAGCTTACCTGACTTTGCATCTCACTTGGTCTTGTTTGAGTTTGGAGTCTGTAAGTCCGAACACAAAGTTCAGACATCTTTGGATAGAGTCTGGTTGGTCACTCAGATGTGTTGGTCTTCGATCAGAGAGCAGTCAGCAGATCATCCATCTCCACTGACTGTGTTATTGTCGTCACAAGCTTCTTCGGTGACTCTGAATCCATCCCCTCAGACTGGTGTGCATTCGTTTGGTGACTCTGGTTTGTGTGAGTATCCATTTTCACATGGAACTCATGCAGTAAAATCGGAGTTGGGTATTTCAGTTGAAGATCAAGAAGTTCAGACATCACGAGCATTGCCTGGGTCATATACTCAGATGTAGTTGAACTCAATGGCCTTACAATCAGCTGAGCACCCATCCCCACTTGCACTATTTCCATCATCTCAGACTTCACCAGATGTCTGAATTCCGTCACCTCAAATTTCTGTACAAGTATCTGGGTAAGATGGGATGTGTTGGAATCCTGGACTACATAACTCGCATGTGTCTTTGGCAGCATTGGGATACCCACTCGCTCCACAAGAAGAGCACTCATGGCCTGGAATTCCTGAATTATACACACAGATGTAGTTGTATTCAATGGCTTGACAGTCTGAGGATCAGCCATCGTTATTCGCAGTGTTTTTATCATCACAAGTTTCGCTTGTAGTGAGAATACCATCTCCACAAACTTCAGTACAGGAAGAAGGATCTGAAGCTTGAATTCCATATCCAGAAGGGCAAGTTATATCGACTATGGCAAAATTATAATTTTCTTTTAAACAAAGTGCTTACTATTTCCTGAAGAAACTGTGTGTGGGAGTACATAATTTTCTGGCATTACCGCATTCATCGATCCTGTTTCATTCCAGCTAAGTTTTATTTTTGCTGAAAACAAATCCTCTTCCCATTTTACATACAAATTGTATAATTTCCTTTCATCCATGCTTATGGAAAACCTAAAAGAAGAATGTGATTAGACTAAAATTTCTAAAAACCTAAGAAATAGCTGTCAGTAAAATTTAGGTAAATCAGCTGAACAATTGGATAAGAGTTCCTGAAATATATCTGAGATGGTAAGTTCAGATTATTGATAAGTCTGAGTATTTTCACCAAAGATAAGATAATTTGAACTTCTTCAAGAATTTTCGACGGCTGAGAAATTTCATCGCTAGACTTTTCCTAATTTGATCTTAGAATATGTCCTAAGTTCATTTATATTGCAGATTTCAAAATTTATCAAGGCTTAATATTCTTCAATGTGAAAAATGAAGCAAGTGAATTAAATCTATTTAATAACGCTCGTGTTTCACAGTGACTTTTAGAATAATTTAAATGACCTTCTTGGCATGTTATTACACAATTTGCGAAATTATAAAAGAATTAATAATGAGATTCTTTGCCTGAATTATATGTAGGGCATTGAAATCTTGATTCCATACATTTTAATATCAATGCTAATAAAACTTAGTGTTTTACATAAGAAACTCCCAATACCTATTTTGTTATATTATGAGATTCTTTAGAAAATCTTCTAAACTCAGAATCATTCAACTTGGCTTTTGGTAATGAGAGTGCAAACAAAGGAACCCTAAATAGGTCTAAATTTTCCGTAATTTTGCTTTATTTCGTTTCGATACTTTTAGTAAGGTTTAATTTTTATTTGGAAAAAATTGAATCAGATCAGCCCAGAAAATATTTTAGAAATTTTAATATCCCTTCCCATAAACTTAGGAGATATTATTTGATGTTCTGAAAGCAAAGGAGGATGCTTGGTGGTGAATAGTATCTAAGATTTTAAGAATGTTTGTGAATTTCCAAGATTTGACTTACCTTTCAACTTCATCGCTTCCACCCACTTGGAATACACCATCTATAAAGCATAGGTTATCTTCCACCTTTAAGAGGATAAAGCAGCTGTAAACATCACTAAGAGTGATTACTATCAGGCCATGATGTGATCATGGCTTAGGGATGACTAATTGAGTAAACACTCTTTTGACCCAATAGTTAAGTTGTCAGGGCTGGTAAAGATTTTCGAGAAAAATTAGGAGAAAGCATCATTATTATGTAATTCCTATGTCCCAGAAATATGAGTCTAAGCAGAGTTTTAGCATAAACATAAAGTTGAGTCATTAGTCTCAGATTTTATACACAAGAAATTTGAAGTTTGGAGGAAGCTAAAATTCTTATTGGAGAAATTTTAGACTAAAATAAGAGGCTGAGCAAATCATTTATATTCTATATCAAAATCAGCAAGGAAGCTGGGATATTAACAAAATATTTAGGTATCTTTTTGGACTATTCACAAATCCCAAGCTTATGTTATCCGAAAATAAGGTATCACATTTTTAAAATCTCCAAATAAATATTAAGTAAACCTTGAATCGTATTATCACTGTTTACCAATATAAGCCCATCCTCTTTCATTCTTCTCCAATTCAAATAGATAAGTTTCTGTTCTTGGTGGCTTGAGTAGAGCCTTAAATTTTCCTCTGACGTTGTCATATTCCCCTTTCTAAACAAAGAAATGAGTTCGAGCTCTATCTTGCCCTTATTTGCTGGCTAATCCAAGAAAACAAAATGTACTTACATATATAATTGAAGATGAAGTAACCCATCCGTTATAGCTGAAATCAATCTTAGATACTTTATTTAGTTCCAAGATATTTTCCATTCAGCTTGTAGTAATCAACTGTGACCACTCCAGTCTCTATTAAGAAGACTTTGTAGGTGATAATTCCTTCCTTGTCTACTCTCAGAGTGTATTCATAAGTTCCATCATCATTGTCTGTCATTTTGGAATTGATTTCACTCGTAAGAGCAGATGAAGCAGGAGTTGAAGCATCTCAATCAAAGTTGGTTGACCAGACTCAATTATTCTTCACAATTATGTAGAAGAGGTCCCCTCCTACAGTGAGGTCTATTCCTGAAGAATCCTTAGCTTGGACTTTAATGGTGAAATCTGTAAATGGAGGGAGTGTTGATGGAACAGAAGATATGATCATGCTTTGAGAGGGATCAGCCTGGCATACTACACATAATAATCAAAACCATCACTACCCAAAAGCATTACCTCAGAGGGGAGCAAATAGCAAAGTTCAGAGTGTAACCAAAAAGTAGTTTCCAAATTCACTCATCAATTTCTTCACTCCCAAAATTGCTCTCTCGAATGACTTCTCTAAAACTCTGCTACTCCACTCAAATGCATCTCCTATATCTAAAAATCACATCTCTGAATACTCCTCTCCCTAAGCCAGCCTTATAAATTACCTTAAATACCTTCAAACATATTTAAAAACAGACATAATCTCGCCTTAATTGCCGAACAAATCCCTAAAAAAACCCTCCTCAGCACTCAAAATCAGAAGCCAAGTTCACTCATTTTAAAAATTTCTAAAATCTTGTTTGGTTGTTCTTCGCATTCAACTTTTGTTAAAATTGAATTTTTGAAAATTGCGAGGAAATTTTGAAAATTTCTGAGTGATCGGAGCTTTAATAGGATTTTTGGGTGGATGGAGGTTGGGTGGAAAGAGAGTGAAGGAATTAGGAAGGATTTTGGAGAAAAGAATGGGTGAAGGGATTTTAGGTTTTGGGCCAGATATAGAAGTACAGAGTTGTTTAATTTGTCGAGGAATGGATTGATAATAGGTTTTGTGGGTCCTTACCTGCTTTATGATCCAAAGTAGTATTGATGGTTACCATATTAATTTACGCAATTATTCAACTCCAATATCTTCTTATGGGGTTTTGGGGTTTTGGGGTTTTGGGGTTTTGGGG